GGACCAGGGGGAGGAGGCGCGCGGCCCACCATGGCTGCCCCTCTCTCTCCACTAAGGCCCATATGGCCCATTACTTCTCCCGGTAGGGTTCCGGTAACCCTCCGGCTCTCCGGTTTTCTCCGAAATCACTCGGAACACTTCCGGTGTCCGAATATAGCCGTCTAATATATCAATCTTTATGTCTCGACCATTTCGAGACTCCTCATTATGTCCGTGATCACATCCGGGACTCCGAACTAACTTCGGTACATCAAAACTCATAAACTCATAATATAACTGTCATCGAAACCTTAAGCGTGCGGACCCTACGGGTTCGAGAACAATGTAGACATGACCGAGACACGTCTCCGGTCAATAACCAATAGCGGAACCTGGATGCTCATATTGGCTCCTACATATTCTACGAAGATCTTTATCGGTCAGACCGCATAACAACATACGTTGTTCCCTTTGTCATCGGTATTTTACTTGCCCGAGATTCGATCGTCGGTATCTCAATACCTAGTTCAATCTCGTTACCGGCAAGTCTCTTTACTCGTTTCGTAATACATCATCTCGCAACTAACTCATTAGTTAAAATGCTTGCAAGGCTTATGTGATGTGCATTACCAAGAGGGCCCAGAGATACCTCTCCGACAATCGGAGTGACGAATCATAATCTCGAAATACGCCAACCCAACATCTACCTTTGGAGACACCTGTAGAGCTCCTTTATAATCACCCATTTACGTTGTGACGTTTGGTAGCACACAAAGTGTTCCTCCGGCAAACCGGAGTTGCATAATCTCATAGTCATAGGAACATGTATAAGTCATGAAGAAAGCAATAGCAACATACTAAACGATCGGGTGCTAAGCTAATGGAATGGGTCATGTCAATCAGATCATTCACCTAATGATCTGATCCCGTTAATCAAATAACAACTCTTTTGTTCATGGTTAGGAAACATAACCATCTTTGATTAACGAGCTAGTCAAGTAGAGGCATACTAGTGACACTCTGTTTGTCTATGTATTCACACATGTATTATGTTTCCGGTTAATACAATTCTAGCATGAATAATAAACATTTATCATGATATAAGGAAATAAAATAATAACATTATTATTGCCTCTAGGGCATATTTCCTTCAGAGACAGGAGCCACGCGAGCGCCGCAACCTTGGGGAGGTAAGAGCCGCACGAGCACCGCATGAGGAGCAGCTCGCCGGGGAGAATGTCGTGATGTGGGCTGACCATGGCCGTGAAGATGCGTTTGGAGGTAGGGGATTGGGAGGAGAAAGATGGGGCGGCAACTAGTGGTCGCGCTGCGTTGGAAAAAGATAAGGCGAAGCAGAGAAGCGGTGGCGTGGGGGGGCATATTCACATGTGCATGTGCGCGCGACCAGCCGAAATCTTACCCGGTCGACCGTATTAGATAGTTTCTCATGTGCCCAATTGGCATTTTTTGGGCACATTAGCACTTGAAAAGTGGGACCTGCCGGTCAATTAGGTCATCAAACAGACTAAACTCCACTAGAATAGTTGTGTGTTAAAGATCAGAAAAAGTCAAGCGCGCATTATATTTTGGGAAGTAGGAAGTGTTTCACAAAATATACGATTGAATTGTTGGTCCTCCAAATAAGAAGAATCTCCTTAAAACATTAGTATATGTTGTGGTTTATGGTGTGCACACGGTGTGGATTTCTATCTTGTATATACTAATAGTAAAATGTTGCTTTAAAATAGGGAGATAGTCTAAAAAATCTCATCAAAGTTATAAACATCCAACCACCGATCTCAAAAATAAGAAACACATGTCAACTGATCTGGTGTATTAGCCAGACCGAACACCTACCACAATAACCCATGATTCCAGGACCACGCCCATGTATTGGTCGTTTGTCCACTCCTACACTAGTACACAATCCTTTTACTAGTGGTGTGTGAAAAAGTCTAGTAGTGGTGTGTGGGTCAGACACCACTAGTAAGTGGCACACGTACTAATGGTGTGTCGAAACCCACACGCATTTAATTTAATGCATGTCTATCTTGATGACGGTGGCTTGGTCATGGGGCAAGGAGGAAGCAAAACTGTTGAAGATGGAGAATCGAATTTATCATTAGCAAAGAGCAAAACACTAACATATATACCAAACATGTAACAACATAGATATCAAACATAGCACATTAGCACATAGCAACATTACCGCATTACCAATGAAGCCAAAAGGCTTATTTTTGTTGCCATCGCAGTATTTTGGATTCATTTTTGTTGCCATGGTACCATTTTCCATTTTTGAGTCAAAGTGCTCATCTTTCATGTGTTTTCTTCTTGGTTTTTGGGTATACTTATTACAGTAAATCAACGTACTTGATGACTATGAATTTTTGTGATCAAATGCCAAAGTGTTTTTTACCTGAAACAATAGGTAAATATCCTACTATGAAATTTATATATATAAACTAGTATGGTTAGTACAAAAGTTCATCAGTTAAGGGGCAAGTAAAAGGTAAAATTTACACAGGTAAGTTAAAAACCGGATAAGAAGCATGGGATCAACACTTTTGAAGAATCCATGCCTTCAGTTTGTGTATATGCATTTGCTTTGTCCTATGGGTCATCAGGATCAGATCTTCTCGAAGATGGGAGCGCCAGGTAATTTCCCGAAGGAGGGGTGTTTTAGAATATGAGATCTTTCACGGGTTTTCGAACGAAAATGCCAAATCTGCTTTCCATTCATGAAGAAGGGGCAGTACAGGGTACAACTCGACAGTACAAAGGAAGACCAGCTGCATACAAACTGTGTGCAGACAACGGGCCACATAGCCTAAAACATCTCTAATCTGCCACCCTCGGTATAGTATGTATCAGCTGGTTGATCTTGTTCTTGTTTGGAGCAAGTTCATCTATAAAATGGCAAGTAAAATGCTTTCATGGTATGTGGGTTCAGCACTTTGTGTTCTACACTTCTACTTCTATTGCTGAAGCCGCAAGTAAAACGACTTGCTTCTTGCATAGGATACACTCCAGTGGGCTACTTGTGCCTGACTTTGGGCATTCAGAAGACTAAAATGTCCAAACTATGTAGCTAATGTTTAAATTTGAATTGTGGGGCCCTCCAGTAAAGGAGAATCCCCTTCAAAAATTAGCGTATGCTGCTAATCGCAGTGTGCACACGGTATTCTTTAGTAAAAGGCGAAAGAATAGTTCGCTTTGTGCCCGCTGCGCAGCTGCGTGCTTTCGGATGGTAGCCTTGGCCTTCCTTATATACCGCTCCCTCCAAGCGCTGTGACATCGAGGAGCGAGGTGGGACTAATCTCTGCGGGAACCTTCACCACCGCGCAGCCGCTGTAGGCGAAAAGGCCGAGGCGTTCACAGCAGGGCCAGCCCACTGGGCCACTGGGCCAGGTAATACAAGCCTGTTTGTTTTATGAGCAGCGACTGGGCTAAAAGTCCTTCACGCTACGCAGTAGCATCCTGTGTAGATCCTGTCCGTTAGTCCCTCTTTTTTTTTTTGCGGGGTACGTTAGTCCCTCTATTTAGGAGCAGCGGAACCGGATCAAGAAAAGTCATAACTGCTACAAGCTGTTTTTTTCCCTTAGATTAGAATGAATGGGAAAAACTCAAGTCATCAACTGTTCTTGCACGCAATACGATGTTCTGTCATACTCGTAGAAGAAAGAGAGACTGAGCACTTGTATATTGCGGACGGAAGAATAGAGAGACGATGAACTGATCGAGCAGTGTACTAACTTTGAAATACTGTATATGAGATAAAAACAAGTACTACCAAATTGACATCATTGATTTATTTATTAGACGTACACATGACTCCTTCATACGAGGAGGAGATATTGGTTTACATGAAAGAAGGCACACGCGCACGCCAGGGGAGGTCGATGGCTCCCTACGTCATTCTTCACTTAGCAGTACATAAAAAAGAAGACATACGCGGCGCATCTTGTTCGGCAACACGTACAAGCCAAGCCATGCATATATCATGCATGCCAAGACAAGGCCGATCTAGAAGACGACCGATCTCATGCATGCATGCATGCATGCCGGGCTGATGTTGCGTGTGCTACCCTACACGAGGGCGTAGACGGCTCTCATGGCGATACCGCACAGCCCGGCCTTTCCATCGGCTCCCCTGCTCACGAGGAAGAAGCCATTCTCCCCAAACGTCTGCCCCCAAGAGTTCTTGACGACCCAGTACTTCTCCCCATCCCTGGCCCCGTATCCCACCACGAGCACCCCGTGGTTCAGTGCGGTGCCACACGGCCCCTTGTAGATGCCGCTCTTGAAGTGCTGCAGATTGCGGTCGCGCGAGTCGATGCCGACGGCCGTCGGCCCCCTCTTGTACACGGCTTCCTGCAGATACCTTTCTTCTGATTTCATCATCCCTATCTGGTAGATCTTCCCCCTGCGGATGGCGTCCCCGTTGGTCCTGCATTGCCCCTGCTGTGCCTCATATGGGTACTCGGCCTCCTTCATGATGCCCCCCTTGCTCTTGATCCACTCAAACGCCCTGTAGGGACTCCCACCCTTGCAGCCGCCAGGTTTTTGTGTCGAGTCACAGTCGACTAGCTCCTGCTCGGATAGATCCAGTAGCTCCCCGGTCTTCTTTTTCAGCTGGCTTTCAACTGCTCCCACTGCCGCAAATGCCCAACAAGCTCCTGCAATATATATAATGTTTTTATGGGATTTACTATATATATAGTGTTTTGGATGGGCGTATATGTCAGTATACAATCAATTTGGTTCTAGCTTGGTGACGTATTTCAGTCATTCGCCGGCCAGTGTTGTCCTGATGGACCGTAATTCGACCCTTTCCTATTTCTCATCGTTTCAGAGGCTCTCAATCAGTTTTTCTGTGTGTGGCTCCAAAGTTTGCATATAGCACTACTTAATTAAATTACTAACAAATTGTTCAGCTGCTCATATATCTAGATAAAAGGTTTTTCATCTTGGGTTAGCAAAATTTGACACAAAATCCGGCTGCAACACGAGGGGTGTCTACTAGCTAGTACTACTAGTTTATATTGTATTGTTATCATTTTTCTCTCTCAAGAGAGAGCTGATTCTCTTTTCTTTCTTTCTTTTTTGCCGGATAGAGAGCTGATTCTTTATTCTCAAATCTTTAAACCGGTTTAAAATGTCCATTTTTTAGGAGCGTCGTCAACTCTTAATTACCCGGTTCCATGAGCTTCGGACACAAAAAGCTAATTACCATGAGGACCCCAAGTGAAATGATTTCCTAGTAGAATCAAGGTGTAGAATTAGTTGAACATGGAATTGTGCAGCCTTACCGCATTTCTGTTGGTTTTTAGCCGGTGTAACAAAGCCCTGCTCGTTCCAATCCCAGCTTTCAGGAAGTCCCACCCCCAGGCTATCCTCGTCCTCCATTGTTTCACGCCCCTCGTGGACATCCCCGGCCAGAGTGGTGATGATCGTGTCACCAACAAAATCGCCGTCCTCGTTGTTGACGAATTCGCCTCCAGTGTACCGCGCCATGAACTCCTCGTGGGTGAGGTCGGTGAACTCGTTCTCTCCGAGCTCGTAGCCGAGCTCGCCGGCCGCGTTGGCGGCGTCGATGTACTCCATGTTGCTGCGGTACACCTCGAAGCGGCGCAGCTTCTCTCTGGCGCCGGCATAGGAGCGGTTGTGCGCGGACATCCACCGGTGGAACCTGCCCAGCATCAGCAGGTCATGGACGACGACGTTCTCGAGCATGGCTCCACACGGTGAAGGGAGCGCCGGCATGGTGGCGCACAGGATCACAAGGACGGCCAAGAGAGGCAACGAAGGGAAAGACGGAGCCATGCGCACGTGTGTGTTTTTGCGGCAAGTGCAGGGCGCGGCTAGCCAAGTGGCCAGTGGGCAGTGGGGGTGGTTGAACCGTGGCTAGCTAGCTCCGGGTTTATATAGGCCCGGGCGCTGGATGATCGTACGTAGCCTCGTCGATCGAGCACATGTCGCTCATCTGTTTGATGTTGCCCACACGCCGACGATGCCTCTCATTGTCCTTGGAGATTCATTTCTGGTCCTTCCGACGCTTTCCCTGCCGTTGGTTTGGGCGGCTGTGTTAATGCGCCGGCAATTGTAGTTAGATAGTGGGCCGGAGCTTGGCACAAATCCTTGTCGCCTGGTGACCTCGTCGTCTTCTGTTGCCATGGACGGCCGTTCAGCAGGCAGTGCATCTCAAAAGAAAAGAAAAGCATTGTAGGAGCATCTTGCTTATTCTTGCATGATGAACCTGAAGCCGAAGGAAAACCATGAGCCGCCAAGAGCTAGGCGGGGTTTGTATCGCGAGGTTCCGTGGAAGAACTTGGCGGGGGCTCGGCCGAACATGATTGGATCAGGACTTCAGCAATATTATTGCTCGATCTTCATCTTTGTCTTAGTCCCAAAAAAACAGGAACGCCGTAGGGGAGCAGGACGTGGTGCACGTACATCGGCACCGGCGGCTCATCCGCTCATGCCGTCATGCATCCTCCTTCCGCCAGCACATACATTTTTCTCAGGCTCCCAATGCGGCCGCCGGTGTTGTTCGCACTCCTTCCTTTCTCAAGCTCCCAATGCGGCTTCCCCCCAACTTTTATTAAAAAGCAAAGGCGAAACCAACACAGGACTGTTAACAGCTCTCGGCTCAAGCCATAAGTAGCTGCAGCAGATTTTGTTAGCAACCTAATAATATCTTCTCTCGATCTAGTACTCTTCTCACGAATTCGTGTAGCAATTTAGGGATTACAATCACAGGATACAAGAATTGGGGAAGGAGGAGGAAGGGGAAGAAGATAACCGCCGCCGCCGGGTTTCGTGATCCATTGGATGCCGTGCTCGTTGCCTGCTTCCGAGTACTTGTAGGCTGTTGCCGAGTGGTGAGCATAGACGGGCCCGGCCCATGAGCTATCAAAGGGGAAAGCCCAGGTATGAGTATGGGCCAGGGGAGGTCCCTAACATCCCTCCCTTCTTGAAATGCGGCTTGCCCCCAAGCCGCTATCACGAAGATTTTGCCAGGATCCCATGGTGCTTGGAGATCCTTAATCATGCCGGAATCCCCATGGTAGTTGTCGCGGTAGCAGCCATGGTCGAGATGGACTTGAACAAGCTCAGAGAAGTTGTCGGGCTTGAGGTAGTAGTAGTCGTGGCCGACAGAGACCCGATTGAAGTTGGTGTTGTGGTTGATGACCTTGGGAGGGAAATGCGACGGAGAAGTAGCCATCACAGTCGAAGCCGATGTAGTGCTTGTAGCCGAAGCAGCCTTGCGTGAATACGTCGGCAAATGCAATGACACCCCTCCCTTCTTGAAAATGATCCTGATTGTAGCATGTAGAGGATGCCATATAGCTCATGTCGTGTGATCTCTTGCTGAGTATTTCGTCGGCAGGGTAGTTGACCGAAAGAACAACCGGAGCCTTGGTAAGATCAAAGGAGCAATCACAGAATAAAGAGTACCATCCTGGATCTCCCTCACTTGCAGCATGTATGTGTTCATGCTTGCATGCGTCTGCATCAAGTTCAGGAAATGACAAATGTTGCTCCCCCAACCAAAAACCAATGGATGTATGAAGAAACCCAGGAGCAGCCGAACTATTACACCCCAGCACTCGCAGTCTATACAGGTTTGGAGATGTGAGAAAGGCCATATTGACATTGCAGCGAGACTGCCAACTCCTCTGACCAAGTATCTTCTCGTTAGTTCCAGCAGCAGAAGGCCATAACTTCACACATTCATTAAAGTAGTGTTGATGACTGGAGTTCCCAGAGGTCTTGACTGCACTTGAATTCCTAAATGCTGCCATTTTTCCAACAAGGAACTTTGTATATGGAAATAAATGCCAGTTAAACAGCAACAACAGCGGTGTCGTACTAGTGCTCATGTATACATGATGTACTCCAAATTCAGAATCTTCCTGTGAGTGCCCTATGCAGCAAGGATAAAATTGTATGCCCTTGTAGTTCACTAGCTTCCAGTGAATTGCTTCTGGCCCAAAACAGCTAAGATAACTTGCATGTGTAGAAAGTTTTCCGAGATACAATGTTTCCTGCACCACCATTTGGCTGCAACATTTTTGACTTAAGTGTTTAAATTCAGATGTTGCCTGATCCAGTATACGCCAAGACTGCCACTGTGTACCATATTGTTCAGAACTGCATTCTAGAGCAAAACAACCACTGAGATTGTACCACCGTTGCCATGTATTGTACACACAAGCTCCAATATGAAATAGTTTCTTTGGATTAGATCTGCTAGTCAAGCCAATGCCACACACTTGGACAGACAAAAACCGATGTGCCCTGAATGTCCAGGTATGAAGGTCATGAACAGAAGCAATCACCGAGAAGTTCCAATGGACAACACTAGAACAGCAGACTTTTGATGGCAAACCGATTGCAAACGGCGGCCATGGAATGGGTCGGGTTTCCATTCCCTCTGCAATAAGAGCTGCCCAATATGATGGCCACGACATCGGCTGTAGCAGCAGCCCCTGGTGCCTTGTACGCGGCGAAACGTCCAAATTATGGCTCAGGAATGGCTGCTTTGAATCGACAGCTGAGAATATCAGAGATAGAGTGGTGAGGAGCTCGTCCTCCATGGCCACAATATGAACGACAAGCCTCCAGGGTAGCATAGGCTTCCTCATCAACTCATGGCTAGAGAAGACTATACAGGACACATGAATAGTAGGAGCAAATGACTGTACAAAAGAGATCACTGACCACCACTCCACAACGCCCCAATTCACCTCACCCAGTGATTGGATTATCTGCTGATTCCGAAGGGGAATTGCTTTTGGCAGCATAGGGGTCCAACCAGCAAGCTTCTCATAGGGACAAGATTTCAGTCGCACACTTGGTAGATACCTCCAGTATTCTCTCAAAAAATTCAAAGCAACCGGCAAACGCTGCACCACATAAGTAACTTGCAACAACAGCCCTTCATAATTCAGAGTCGTGCCTTCAAGAGAACCAGCAAACGACGGCCACGGCACGGGCCTTACATCATTGCCGTCAGCAAAATGCATCTGAAATGATGGCCACGGAGTCGGTCGTAGGTGAAGCACCTCCTGTAGGTCATGGAGATAACCAGGGATGCATTGGGAGGCGGGCGACGTAAAGCGCCGGAAAGGAGTATTGTATTATGTATGGTCCTCCTTCGCTTTTTGGAAGGTTGTATAGTCGTTTTGATACATAAGATATAATTTCCGGTTCTACATACATATTGGTTTGAGATGTTTTCATTTTTTTTATCATTTCAATGAATAATGCAATCTGGATTTGTTTTATCATGGCAATTTGAGGCATTCTGTATGGGCTGGTTGGAGGAATATTATTTTTTGACTCACTATGTGTGAACATGTTGAAGGGGCGTGACCATCAACGAGCTTGTGGAAGAAGTTTGAATGTGAGTAGCTCCTATCTTTTGTGTACTTATTGTCAGTCTATCAATCAAAGGGTAGAATGATTACACGTGCAGTTATTTTGGTGTGAGCTTTGACAAGGGATGGCGATTGTTATGTTGAAGAGGCTAAAATCTTCCTTGGTAAGTGATGTGCATTATGCATCTGATAAAAAAAGAGGATTTAGGAAGTTGATTGTGCCCATGAGAGGTGGTCCTGATATTAGGCTTGCTATAACATGTCATATTTAACACGTAATGTTCTTTACCAACCAAATGTTCACGTTTTAGATTATAAAGAATGATGACCTCAAAGACAAAGAGCTCCAAGAACTCGGTTCTGAAACTCTTGGTTAGTCCGAGTAATGAAATATGACCCTACTGGAAGTTCTACCTCATTTCAGTTCTTCTCTTTTCTATTTAATTATCTATTTCATTCCAAGCTAACTGTCTTACATACCTATATCTTTCAATGCAAGACTACACAAGGACTATGGTCTATGTGATATCAAGCTCCTTCAAATAATCTGCACCCGTTCTTTTGGAGAATAATGTGTATGCATGGTCTACAATGGAGTTTACAAAATAGATTCACTTATTCAAAGATTCAACCTAACATTTTCCATAAGGATTATGTATGTTATACCAACTCTCAGTAATCTCTACTACTAATGTCTTAGTTGATAGTCTCGCCTCACTCCACCTCATCCCACCACTCCTATATTTCGCCCACCTTTGACATCATCACATCACAACATTAGGCTGGCCCATTAACGTGTATGTGAACGCAATCCTCCCATCGCCTGCCCTCCTCGCGATAATCCCGACGTCCTCGCGTTGTCGTCCTCTTCTCCCTGATCTCCTCTACCAGTGTGCCTTCCTTGCGATCCTCCCGACGTGTCCTCGCGTCGCCGTCCTCTTCTCCCCAAACTCCTCTACCAGGGGGACTCCTCTACGACCCAGGCGGAGCGAACATTGTACACAAGTTTTTTTGGCTTTCACCGGTTCGTTCTCTACCCCTCCTCCATGACTCCCTTGCCATCGATTTTTTTCGACGTCTAAATGCAATCCCTCCGTGGGGAAGTATGGTGTGAAGGAGGGAGGCCGCGATGGCGAATGTGAGGTGGGCGTCATCCCGTTTTAAAGGAGAGGTCTCCAGCAAGAAATGTCTCACTACGGCGAAAACCGAGCGGAAGGGAAGGGTCCGACAGGAAAACATAAGGGTGTGTCATGGGGTGGAGTTTTTATGTTGGGTATGCGTTTTGGAGATAACAGGGTTCATAGTTTAGACATTTTTCTCTCCAATACGGTCTGGATTTGTGGGAGCCTGGACTGTCGCATTGTTACATTTTTCATGCAGTGTATCATAAAAATGTATCATACATACAAAATACATCCCCTTTATTATATACAGTATAGC